AAAAATTGGTGATTGTTTGATATTGATGTTAACCTGTTGACTAGGGTATGATAAAATATGATCTCATCGTTTTAGTTGTATTTGTACATCAAATCTCCGTTTACATTATGTAGTCGAGTCAGTTCTTGAAATATTATGTTGGTGAGTCAGTGCTTGAAAGCAATGACGGTGTCGATAGTCATCATTAAGATATGATAAAGTCATGTCTCAATCACCAAGTTATGTATATTTATTTTGCATGTTGATATGTTTATGTATAAGTATGCAAATGATTTATTTAGGAGTCACAAAACATCATTTTGCATAATTTGTATGTTACCTTCATGTGCATAACTTAACTCGTATCACATAATCGGGTTAAGGATTTAGAGATAAGGGTTTAGGGTTCATTGTAAAGACATTAATTAACTAATTTATGAGGTAAGTACAATATAATATCTTGATATTAAATGCTCAAACCTTTAATATTTATGATATTTGAACTCGAAACCTCAAATTATAACAATAATTTTAAAAATTAGTTATTAAAAATTTGAGATAGTTGTATTATAGAATTTTTAATATATTTTTAAAATTTTATAATTATCAATAGTGTATTTTTAATAATATAATTTTAAAAAATCTAAAATTATAATATAACATTTTTTCGAACTGCTCACGAGTTTTTCGAGTCGAGTATCGAATAGCTCGTTTCGGCTCGTTAAGAACTCGAGTCGAGCTTGAACTCGAGTCGAGCTTGAACTCGAGTCGAATCCATTCGATCCGAGTATTTATCAAACTTTGATCGAGTCGATCTCGAATAGCTTACAATCTGTCTCGTCTCATTTACCGCCCTAGTCGTGAGACATTCCCGAGGCTTGTGGTTAAAGCAAAGCGGCAATTCCTTCATAGAGATTGATGATTGATTGAGAGATAAGAGAGACAGAGGGAGATTTTTCTTTTTCTTTTAGCGAAAAAATGGCGGAAGTGAGAGGAGCGAACACATGGTGGAAGGAGCTGGCGAGTTTGGTGGAAGATCCCGGGTTAATATACACCAAGGAAATCGGTTTCCCGTCGTTACAGCCGTTCACTGATCAGAAATCGACGGTGGTTGCTGAAAGTGATCATGAGACGGAACCGCCGGAGGCTTTGAAGGAAAAAGTTAAGGAATTTTTGAAATCGTGGTGCGAGATGGTTGTAGAGCTTGGAAGAGGATATAAAGATATTTTGCAGCAAACTGTAGTTACTGAGGATTCGTTTATAGTTCAGAAGCTTGGTGGACCCTTGGCTAAGGTCTCCGGTCGATTGAGTTTCTTGAATGAGTTCTTGCCTGAGGATCGTGATCCTATTCACGCTTGGCCTGTTATCTTCTTCGTTTTCATCCTTGCACTTTCAGGTACTAAATCTTTTATTGCTAATGATTATCAATTAAGTATTATTTGCGGTTATCAGTGGTTATTGAAAATCTGGAACGCTAGATTCACACAATTTTAGGACCGGATTCACACATTGTTTGAAATTTTGCAGCTCTAAATTTGAATGGTGGGCATGATGGATTGGCACCACCAGTGAAGAAAGTGCTTGTTCATCCTCCTAGCGCAAGCCGATTCTAGCTCCCTGATGATAGACACTTGGCTTATCGTGCAATAGGTGTTCCAGCGGACAAAACTAGATTTTCTCTTATTGCGCCGCATTCTTTTCTTTCTTCCCGACTTGCAGGTAAGAATATACAATTAGTAGAAGTTTTATATGCATGTTCGCAATCAAGTTAGTGTACGAACTTGTATAATTATTTTTGTTAAACAGGTATACCTGGAGTTAAGACATCACTGCTTGAAGAGTTCGGTGTTCGGCTGGTAACGTATGATCTTCCTGGTTTTGGGGAGAGTGATCCTCATCCTAGTAGAAATTTAAATTCATCAGCATTTGATATGCTACATCTTGCTGATGCTGTTGGAGTCAATGATAAGTTCTGGGTGTTGGGCTACTCGAGTGGAACTATGCATGCTTGGGCTGCTCTTAGACATGTATCTCACAAAATTGCAGGTGTGAGCTGGTTACATCTGTAAATTTACTGGTTTGGTACCTGACATATTATTGCATAATGTTACTTAGAAAGCCTGAATAGATATTTGTTTCGTAATGGATTATTTAACTCATCAAGACCTTATATTGTGATGCATCTTCACAAACTCTACAGGTGCAGCAATGGTTGCTCCAATGATCAATCCGTATGAACCTAGCTTGACTAAGGAAGAAATGCAAAGTATTTGGGGAGAGTCGTTACCAAGAAGGAAGTTAATGTATTATTTAGCTCGAAGATTGCCAAAACTGCTGTCCTTCTTTTACCGCCGGAGTTTCCTATCAGGCAAGCATGGCCGAATTGAAAAGTGGATGTCTGTGTCACTTGGAAGGAGGGTGAGTCAACTCTCATCTTAATTATTTCTCAAAGATCTCTTATGTATTCCTATATTACTCTTCACATTTTGGGCTATAGGGTGAATAGCTGCTAATTGGGGTCTCATGACACCCAATAATCTCTTTCAATTGAAAACACGATGAAGTGCATGTGGTCATATTAGACTAAGAAATAGAGGGATTGATGCATAAAGTAATACCCCATATTGGGTGAACTTTTTAACCTTATGGAGTTTGTTCAAAGTATGGAAGTGCTATGTGATAAGATCTACTGTTTTGCAAAAGCGTTGTGTTGAAAACTAGCCTTTGATATGAACCAATTTGAATTAGTTAATCTTGACATGTGCAGGATGAGATTCTAATTGAAGGAGCAACGTTTGAAGACTTCTGGCATAGAGATGTAGAGGAGTCCATTCGTCAGGGAAATACCAAACCATTCATCGAGGAAGCCGTCCTATAGGTTTCAAACTGGGGTTTTCATTTGGCAGGTTTGGAGATTGTTTTCCTTTTGTTCCCTTCCATATAAATATCACCATAAAACTTAGTAGTCCTTGCAAATTTATCACCTCAATTTAGCCTGAGTGTGGTTTGCCATAATATCATGATCTATAGGTTTTTTGCCAGTCAACCATAGATGCAGTGATGTTTCAATCATTTAAGAGTCCTACAAGTGTCTGTAATTTAGTTGGTCACCCATTCCTATAAGATTGTTTCTGATGGAACTTGTGCATTTCAATTTTGAACTATTATCTGTACTGTAGTCGTTATTTAGGTTGTTGAGCCTAAAAAAGACGTAATAAGTTCTTATTTAGGTTGTTGAGCCTAAAAAAGACGTAATAAGTTCTTACATATATATTGATCGCTTGCTATACAGGGGATTGATGATCAAGCTGTTCCACAAGGAATGATAGATCACATAAGCCGTGTTCTACCAGGGGCCACCATTCATAAGCTCCCAAATGAAGGCCATTTTTCCTTCTTTTTCTGTGACGACTGTCATCGGCAGATATTCTCTACTCTGTTTGGAAGCCCTCAAGGTCCTCTTAACCAGTCAACAGACGAAGGCGAAATCCCGTCCGAAGGAGAGATGGAAGAGCAACCAATAGCTACCGGTTCTACCGTAAATTGATACACCGCCAATAGATTTACACTTTTTGCATTCCTTATATCCCAATTTTTGTGTAAATAAACCACAGATTGCACCTCATAGCTCATGGGAGAAGTTTTAGATGTCTGAAAAGTTATGTTACCAAGTACTTGAGAGGTGAGGCTAAAAGAAAACATACGATAGAGATGAGATATATACCAGGCAAGGAGGCACTGGTTTTAACGATTTACCTTGCACAAAACTAGAATCAATTAGTATTAACTATTAACAATTCTTTTGGCATTTTACAATTGCTAAGCTCCAAAGAATTTTGACAGCTTTCTTTCACCAGAAAAGTTGGTTATGGCTCAGCATGTGCACAACCCCGGCGGTTTCACTGGCATGATAACCTGACCTTCTGCACGTGCATCCGAGTGTGGTGGTTGTACATGGTATCTGCCCGTTCCTGGAAGTGGAATTGACAGTGAAAATTTTTGACTGAAACAAGGGGGCTGGCCTTTGGCTGAGTCAACAAGACAGAGTGATGAGTTCATGCTCAGAGCGTGTTGGATGCATGTTAGGAGCTTTCGGCCCTGCATAGAAGGACCTTAAAATATTTGCATCGAACCAACATTTTTTAGTCTTATTTTAAATCTTAAATTTTGATTTCTCATTATTTTTAAACTATAAAATGAACCTTAAAAGTCATTTTTATCCTAATACAATGTTGATTCCACTAAAATATATTCAAGGAACAACAATAGACTCATATCGATGAGAGACCGTCGAAGGTTTTCCGACGAAAGTGTTTAATTTTGTGAATTATTTATAAATATTTTTTTAACAATCTATAATTTTATATCTTTTGATATTTTTAAAGTTTATTTAATTTTTTTGAAAGTCTTAATAGTGTTTTTATTTTTAATAGTTTTTATATTTTAAATTTTAAATAATTTATTCTTTTTGTTGCTTAAAGATTAAATGAGTCATTAAATTTTATTAAAAAATCAATTAAACTTTTAATTTAAAAAAAAAAGATTAATTAAGTTCATCAATCATTTCATCATTCACATGTAAATCCTCACATCAACATATGTAGACCACTAAGTCAATATCGTAGATCACCACATCAGTATCATAATCCATCACGTTAATACTAGAACAGTCACCGATAAATTTAATCGATTGAAAAGTTACATCGATTATTTTTTTTTGGATTTAAAAGCTTAATTCGACTAAAAGTTAGAGATTTAAAAGATTTTTTTTTCAAAAAGAAAGTTGAGGGGTTTATCCTAATTTTTACATAAATGTCGTTTGATTGCTGTCTAATCAAGTAATTTGGTATAATCACTTCCAACAAGTTGGTGGATTTGTCTCTATATGATTTATATATGGAAAGTAATTCATTGGACATTAATTCCATTCAAAATTATTGAACAAATTAATTGGATTATGGACACTAATCATAGAGAAAAAAATGAAAAATGTTTTAAAAGTTAAAAAAATACAAGAGAAATGGAAAATTTTTGAGATTATGCTCCTATAAGTTGAAATCTCTAAGCAACATGTTCTTCCTCTTTATATATATATATATATGTATGCACGTATTTTTCATCTTTGATTAATTGCATCGGATAATGAATATGTTTTGACAACATCTCTTGGCACAACTCCAATGGCAAACTGAAGACGCCAAAGCATGATTTTGGAGCACTCTTCCGGTGGAATACCCTTTAACTTTGTCTCATCTTCTTGCACAATTTGTTTCACAAGTTTCAGGGAATTCTGAAGAAGAAAAAAACATTGTTAAAGGGTTTCATTGGAATGAAGTAACAATCAGGGATTGACTGAGGAAGGCTGGCGGAGGTTGCTTGTCTGAAAAATTCAAAATTTTATAGTTTTAGTATTTTCTTTGTATAATTCGTTTTCGTCCCTAGAAGTTTTATAAGTTTATCTTCCTAACATAAAATTATGCGTTCTACCTGGGAAGTGCCTTGACCCGATGTGGGACGACCCCATCTCTCAGGGTCCCATAGGATTGAACTGTTGAATGCAAAGCTTGAAATATGAATGGGAGGTTTCATCTCTTCATCTGTCTGGTTATTCATCTTCCTTAGATGCCATCCTATAACTTGTGACGAATCGCAAACAGGTCCTTCGATCACTACTTTTCTCTTGTTTGCTGATAGTAACGCCGTTGGCCAAGTTCCAAACACCCTGCAAATTGCCCAAATATTATTCATCCCGGAACTTGGCAGCTGAAACATCTTTTTCCTGCTATATTTTAAACAGTATGTATGTGTAGAATCTTATGTACAGGTAGTTTGAAACTCGTTTTCACTAGAAATATTATATGAGAAAAAGAGTTAGGTGAGTTAAAACGTACTCGATTTGTCTGAGTTGTTGGAAGAAATCGAGATCGTAGACATTGGAAAGTCCGGCGAAATGCACTATCCCACTCAGCTTGTGCTGCTCAATGTGCTTCAATGCAACGTTCCGTTGATGATTTAGTTCTGCTTCAGGGTCTGTGAAATTCTCCTTGGACACCAAATGCCTATACATGATCCCCGTTTTCCGAAGTATCGCCGATACCTCGTTCGAATCCGATTGCCCTTCGACGATGATCCACAGCAATGGTTGAGGAACCAGTCGTATAGTATTCGCTAGCCTCCTCAAGAACACACCTCGAAACTCATCTTTCGTGCTCGTCGGTGTAACGACAATTAGAAGTCTCCCGGCTGGCACATTGGTTTCATGAACAACATCATCCACTTGTTTCGAACTCTCCGGCACCGGCACCGGAGTTTCGGCTCTCAAACTTCTGTTAACATTAATGCTATGTGCCACTGATGTTACTGACTGGTTCACATGCTGAGGCGAACTACTCAGTGATTTATTATCAGCAACAACATGGCTGGAAAAAATAGAATCCTTACCAGTTGGAGCAAAGCCTGTGAAAAACCCCATAACGAAACATAAAGAGAAATGACCAATAGCTTTCTTCCATAACTGAACTTTCTTCTTTGATCTCTCAGCAGACCCCATGGGATTTTAAGGTGTGAATTATTTGAAAACAGAGGGGGGATTTAAAAGACAAAGGAGTAATGGGGGTTTGATTTTATATTTAAGTAATGTTAGGGGGTAGTTCAGCATAGCTTGAAGTAAAAGAAACATGGGAAAATACAAGGGGGGCTTGGAGTTGCTGTCTATGCACCAAATAGTTGTTGAGATGGAACCCATCAACTAAATGTTGTTATAAAAACAATTCATACTTTATTTTATCCCTTCTGTCACTCGATGATTCTTTTTTGTAATAACTGGGGTTGACCAAATGTGCCTTATTATCATGTTTTTAGTACTTCCTTGAGTTGCAGCATGTTGTTCAAGTGTAGCGGCATGGTTACTCCAAAGCTTACTTTCTTGAAAATCTTCATGTTACTGAAATAGATATTATGTGCAAGAGTGACAAAACATTGAAAGGGGTGGACCTGAAAGGTAATAATGCCATTTTAATGGAGGGGGTTACTGTTGAGAATGAGATTTAATTGATGGAAGAAGTTGTTGAGCAGCGCCCATACTTTTCTAACATTACAAGGAACTTGAGATGGTGACAAGATGATTGGATGTTATATCATCACTTCTTTTGGTATTAATAGAGAGGACTATGAAGTAATAGACTCGGGTCCGGAGCTGCTGAGTGTTAGGATCTATGTAAAACTTACGGTTTTAAGATTGTTGGCAAAGAAAAAAATTAATGATTAATTTTCTTTCCTAAATATCTTCTCGTTTTTTTATTTTTAATTTCAGTCATTTTTTTATTCATCCAATGATCTTAAATCAGTATAAATTAAAAGAGTTTTATATTATGTAATTGAATCCTCGGCTCATATATATATATATACACACACAATATAAAATTCTTTTAATTTTATACAGATTTAGGACCATTGGATGAGTGAAAATAGATGACTAAGATACATTTGAAAATGAGAAGATATTCACTGAAAAAAACACTAGTCAATCTCAGCCATCTATTTTTACTCATCCAACGATCTAAATAAATATTTAAATATACATCTTTATTCGCTTTAGGAGTTTAAAGATTTTTTGTCGACATAGGTGTCGAACATTTTCTTTGTTGTTATTTGAAAGTCCATTACTTCAAGGTCATTATAAAAAAAATTTGTCAACCACTCAAACCATGACATATGTTGTATTTATAAATTTTTGATAAAATTATTTCTTTTAAATGAAATTATTTTTTTTCAAAAAAAAATCTAAATTCTCTAAAATCTTTAATCCTAAACCTTCAACTCTATCGTCAGTTGATTCGTCGTTGTCTTGCTGTCTATCCACTTGTTGTTGTAATCTCACTACCAACAATCCCTTGACCATCGCCTGAATCTTCTAAATTTTTGAATCTCTTTAAATCCTAAATCCTTGATACTTAAATCTCGAATCTTTAATTATATCTCTCTCCGATTGTCTCTTCCTCTTTTCTCGAAAATTCATTGTCGACACAATAATGGAATGGGACTGTTGGAGGGGAAAGAGATTAGAGATTTAAGTATTGGTAATTTAGAAATTTTCAGAGAATTGTGACGACAATAAGAAAATAACCAATAATAAGAGTTCAACAACGGGTGAATAACCAACCGATGATAATACTGATAACATGTCTAAGAAAAAATAAAAATAACATATCATGTTTTGAGTGACGTACCGGTTAACGGATTTGTGCTTCTCTCAACTTCTCTCAACTTCACAATTTTATGGTTTTGTTCAATACGTTACTTACATAAATAAAAATATGGATTGTAGTATTGAATTGAATAACAGAGTTATAGCTTCCCCCACCCAAATACACATAGTCTTTTCAAAGAATCATGCAGAGCTATCATCCCAAACAACTTTCACTCGAAAATTAGGCTTCGAGAGCATTAGCATACGAACGCCAGGAGCTTCGGTGTGGGCACGAAATAAAAGCTTGTCTTCCAAAAACTAAAAGTAATAGGCCTAAACTAAAGTAGGAAACAGGTAAAGGCTAGCAAAAAAGAAACTAAGATTTAAAAGCGATTCAATAACAATTTCATAAACAGCAAAGTATGAAGCAAACCTTGAACAAAAGTCTCAACCAGAACAACATAGAACTAAAGCATATTAAAATTGGTCTGAAAAGTTAAACTTCCATGTAAATAGTGAACGCTCGACAAAAATGCTAACCCGGCTCTCCAACGCGACAGCTCACTTCTTCTTGGCAGCAGACTTGGTGACCTTGGCACCGGTTGGGTCCTTCTTCTCAACACTCTTGATGACACCAACAGCCACAGTCTGACGCATGTCCCTGACAGCAAAACGACCGAGCGGCGGGTACTCTGAGAAAGTTTCCACAACCATGGGCTTGGTCGGAACCATCTTCACCATTCCTGCATCTCCATTCTTCAAGAACTTAGGCTCCTTCTCAAGCTCCTTACCAGATCGTCTGTCGATCTTGGTCAACAGTTCAGCAAATTTTACGGCGATGTGGGAGGTGTGGCAATCAAGGACTGGGGCATATCCATTTCCAATCTGACCAGGGTGGTTCATGATGATGACCTGAGAGGTGAAGTTGGCAGCTTCCTTGGCAGGATCATCCTTTGAGTTTGACGCAACATAACCACGCTTGAGATCCTTAACTGCAACGTTCTTCACATTGAACCCAACATTGTCACCAGGGAGAGCCTCTGGCAGGGATTCATGGTGCATCTCAACAGACTTGACTTCAGTTGTCAGACCAGTAGGACCAAAAGTCACAACCATACCGGGCTTAAGGACACCAGTCTCAACACGACCAACGGGAACAGTTCCAATACCACCAATCTTGTAGACATCCTGAAGAGGGAGACGGAGCGGCTTGTCCGAGGGCCTCTTGGGCTCATTGATCTGGTCAAGAGCCTCAAGCAGAGTGGGGCCCTTGTACCAGTCAAGGTTGGTAGACCTCTCAATCATGTTGTCACCCTCAAAACCAGAGATTGGGACAAATGGGATCTTCTCAGGGTTGTAACCAACCTTTTTAAGATAAGAAGAGACTTCCTTTACAATTTCATCATACCTTGCCTTGGAGTATTTCGGAGTTGTGGCATCCATCTACAACAAATGATAATTGAAAAATCAGTTCAGCAGTCACAAAAACAAGTTATGATAACAACTTCCATTAAAAAAATGAACACAACAAAAATGTTCTAAAGCTCACCTTGTTTCAGCAGCAAATCAACTGCTTGACACCAAGGGTAAAAGCAAGCAAAGCATGCTCACGTGTCTGACCATCCTTAGAGATACCAGCTTCAAAACCACCAGTGGTTGAATCAATAATGAGAACAGCACAGTCAGCCTGTGAGGTACCAGTAATCATGTTCTTGATAAAGTCACGGTGTCCAGGGGCATCAATAACAGTGCAGTAGTACTTGGTGGTCTCAAACTTCCACAAGGCAATATCAATCGTAATACCACGTTCACGCTCGGCCTTAAGCTTGTCAAGCACCCAGGCATACTTGAATGACCTTTTGTTCATCTCAGCAGCTTCCTTCTCAAACCTCTCAATCACACGCTTGTCAATACCACCAAGCTTGTAGATCAAGTGACCAGTGGTGGTGGATTTGCCAGAGTCGACATGGCCAATGACCACAATGTTGATGTGGACCTTTTCTTTTCCCATTTTAGAACTGGAGACAGAAACTAAATATTATAAACATATTCATAAAACAAGTCAAAACTCAAATATATTTCCTCTCCACTAACCGCAACAAGAATTAGACATCAAGAAAAACAGAAGCAAAACAAATCTGACATCCAATTGCAGAAACGACTTTCACGAGGAATAATAAAACTTAGTAAAAAAAATGTAGTTTTGATAGTAGTGGCCGTTGGGATTCGAGCCCAGGTCCTCCATAAAAATGGAGTTCTTTCCACTGAACTACAGCCACTGTATCTTATCAATTCCTTCCGATTTAAAACAAATAAGCCTGAGAGATGATGATCGTTGACCATTTTAATAATCTTATCCTTAAGTGAACAAATTTTCCCAACGGCAATATCTGCTTCAATAGATCTATGATTATCACATGATTCAAAAATATACATCTTAGAGATTTAAAATCACAGAATTCTATACAAAAATAGATGCACAAAATCTAAAAACACATTTATTGAAACAAAAAGAAAAGAAAATCAGATCCGATCCGATGCTACACGAAATATATAATCATGTGAGCAAACGGATCAGATCAGAATCATTTAAAAATGAACAAACCAGACAGAGAAAAGCAAAAACAAATTCATATAAAGCATACTCAAATCACATAAATCAAGGAACAACTATATCAGCTAGTAACCATTAAGATCAGATTTTCCTTCAAATCAAAGCAACAAATTACAAATGATAACAAATAAAAGGATTGTACCTGTAAACTAAAGAATTTAGTCTTTGAGATTCGCTTGACCTAAAGCTCGCCTCGTAGCAGCACAAGAGAACGTAAAGCGCAAGCGAAGGTGTAGGGTTAATAAACCAGCTGACTGAAGCTTAAGTATCCACGCTCTCAGCTTAGTTTTGGCTAGGGTTTCATTCTTAACCGTCGGATTAAGGACAATCCAAGGGCTAACATTAGACATCTCACATGAGCCATAAAGGATGTTTCGATATTTTATCCTGTTTTAACTATAATACCCTCATTACTTCTGCAAAATAACACGAGACTCCTTAAAATGTTAACAACCACTTTTACCCTCAAATATTTTTCTATTTTTTTAATAAGCTAATACAATTACAATATAATATTTATTCTGAATTTTCTTAAATAATTGACAACACATACACTCTCTACCACGGGCGGATGCACTTGACCTTCTAAGGTGTCAAATGTATACTCATTATTTTGAATAAATTATTAAATATATTTCAATATAAGAAAAAATAAAAAAAATTACATACACATTTTATTTAAAAAAGTATTAAAATTTTTGGACCCCTACTTTTTAATTTTTGGATCCGTTATTACAACTACATATACAAAAATTTAAACTTAAGACCTCTATAAAGAACAACATTCCGTTTTACAAATTTCTATTTCAA